GAAGTAGCGGCGTAGATAGCCATCTGCTTGACGAGGTAATCCTTATCTTTCTCGTGGGCGATTTCTTTCAACGCCTCGATTGGCTGAGCAAATTCAACCTTGCCTTTCGGTTCCAGGATAAATTTGATTTGGGCCTGGAATGCTGGATCAGCTTGAGCCAGCAGTTGCTCAACACTCGCCTCTTGCGTCTCTTGCGCGGCGCAAGCTGTCCACGGCGTAAGGCTTGCGATAAGAATCAAGACGTATCTCATCGGCGTCGCTCTCAATAATTGACGGTGGCCCAGATTAACGATGGTAGAATTCTACCCCGTTTGTAGGGTCCGCTGTGCGGACCGTGGTTGGTGGCTCGCATCAACACCAGCGCCGACCGCAATGAACGGTCCGCACAGCGGACCCTACCCGATCGATCCTGGGTCGGTTTGGCCCTTCGCGCCGCTTTCCAGATACGCCGTAAGCATGATCTGTGCGGCGAGGGCGTCGAGTCGCGCCTTGCGGCGTTTGCTGGTGAGGTTCGCCGCCTGCAGGATCTCTTCGGCTTGCGATGACGTGTAGCGCTCGTCGAAGAACTCGACCGGCACGCCGGTCTTCTCCGCCAGCCACTTGCCGAAGCGCCGCGCTTCGAGCGACTTCTGGCTCTCACCGCCGTCGAGGTGCACCGGCAGGCCGACGACCCAGCGGATCAGTCGCTCTTCCCGCGCGAGCGTCGCGAAGTACTCGCCGTCGAGCCGCTCGCTACGCCGGTTGTAGTTCTCATGCGGCGAAGCCATGCCGACCTCGAGGTCGCCGATCGCCACGCCGATGCGGACTGTGCCGTAATCGACGCCGCCGATGCGACCGCGTTGCAATTGCGGATTGCGGATTGCGGATTGCGGATTGGCATCGTCGCTTTCGGCATTCCCCTTTCCACTTTCCGCATTCATAAAAAGCTCTCCCACCCGCGCGTCTCCAACTCCTTTACAATCGCCCGGATGCTTTCTTCGTCGTGTTTGTTGGCGACGAGGGTCGCGTTGTCGGTATGGACGACGATCAGGTCGTCGCAGCCGAGCGTGACGACGAGGTGGTCGGGCGTCGTGCGGACGATGGTGCCAGTGGTGTTGAGGCCGAGGTGCTTGCCGACGATCGTGTTGCCGGCGTCGTCCGCGCCGAGGCGGCGCGGCAGCGACTGCCAACCGCCGAGATCGTCCCACTCGAAGGGCGCCTCGATGACGGCGACGTTCGTGGCGTGCTCCATCACGGCGTAGTCGATCGACACGCCCTTGATGGCGGCGAACTCATGCTCGAACACGGCCGGCCCGTCGGGCGTGTCCCAGGCGTCGACAATCTTTTCGAGATGGGCGAGCGTCTCCGGTTGGCGTTCGCGCAGCGCGTCTAGAATGGTCGAAGCCCGCCAGCAGAAGATGCCGCTGTTCCAATAGAAGTCACCCGAAGCGAGAAACTCGGCGGCGGTCGCCGCGTCGGGCTTCTCACGGAATCGCGCGACCTTGAACGCTGACGCGTCGCCGCAAGGGTCCGTTAGCGCTTCGGCCCGTTGGATGTAACCGAAGATCTCGGCGGGGTAGGTCGGCTTGATGCCGAAGGTGACGATCCGCGATGGCTCAGCGTCCACTAGGGCCTCGGCCTGCTTCACCGCGGCCTGAAAGACTTCGGGTGTTGCGATCACATGGTCGGCCGGCATGACGATCATCGTGCCGTCGGGGTCCTGGCGTGCCTTCGCGACGAGCAGCGCCGCCAAGCCGATGCAGGGCGCCGTGTCGCGCTTGCAGGGTTCGCCAACGATCGACGACGCGGGGAGCTCCGGTAGTTGCTTTGCAACATCGGCAACGAGCCGCTGATTCGTCACGACCATCCGCCGCTCGGGCGGCACGACATCGCCCAGCCGCTGCGCAGTCTGGCGGATCATCGTCTCATCGCCCACGAGCGAGAGCATCTGTTTGGGCCTGTCGCGGCGGCTAGCGGGCCAGAACCGAGTGCCGGACCCGCCGGCCATGATGATCGCGTGGAGCATGAAGTCGTGGGCAGTGGGCTGAGTTTTTTGAGCCGCGACCGTGAGGGAGTCGGAGCCGTCGGAAAGAGCCAACACACTCTAACGCTCCAACTCTATCCCGCCGACTGGCCCCCGAGCGTTGCGACGAGCGATTCCACGGCGGCTATCGGATCGCTTGCTCCGGATACGGCCCCACTGACGGCTACACGACGCAGGCCCGCGGTGACGACCTCACTAACGTTTGCCGGGGTGATTCCGCCGATCGCGAACGCCGGCAGCGAGA